CCCCTCATTGTCGGCGCACTGAAGTCACTTATGGGCCATGCCGAAGGGGCTGCCGGCATTGCCGGCCTCATTAAGCTCATTCTCGTACTCCAGCACAGAGTAGCCACTCCTAATTTGCATCTAAACGTGCTGAACCCACATATTGACATATCGAGAAGCGACAAATATAGAGGTCTCATGTTTCCCAGCAAGTGTGTATCTCTCGATTCTCTCTTTGGCATTCGAGAGTCGGACCCGCTGTTGGGTGCAGTGAGCTCGTTTGGATTTGGCGGATCGAATGCACACGCCGTCGTCGAGGTAGGCCCGACTTTCAAGTCAACGTGGACGGACAACTGGGAGCAGACTACAGCGGGGCACGAAGAAGGGCACGCAAAAGTCATTTGGCTGTTCACCGGGCAGGGATCTCAGTACTTAGACATGGCATGTGCCTACTTCCACCACAGTGCAACATTCAGAGACATGCTTGCTGAATGCACTGCCTGCTTGAAGGAAATGCACTGGTTCCCAGATGATGGGCCACAAAGCATTGAAGATATGATATACGGCGCAGGGTCGCAACCAGACAGGAAAGCAATGGAGGAACTATTGAGCCAAACGCGGTACTCGCAAGTTGCCATTCTTGCGATAGAGCTCGGTTTGAGTAAGGTTCTTCTGGACCGCGGAATGAAACCGGACATTGTTATTGGTCACAGCCTGGGTGAGTACGCAGCAGCTACTGTTGCCGGTGTAATGGGATGGAGGGATGCGTTGTGCTTGGTTGCGAAGCGCGCTTCCTTGTTAGCAGCACAGCCAAACCAGAACGGGGTCATGGTGGCCTGCCGGCTGTCAGCTGCTGCAGTCCAGTCTGCCCTTTCCACCGACATGCAGCATTTAGGAGCAGTGGCTCTCGCAGGAGACAACGCCCCTCAAAGCGTCACAATTTCAGGCACCAAAGAAGACGTAGACGCATTGTTGGAGCATCTGGGAGTTTCGGAGATCTCCAGGCGCCTGCACGTGTCTCATGCCTTCCACTCTCCTCTGATGGCCGGCGCCGTCGCGGAAATGGAAGCCATTGCCTCCAAGGTAAACTTGCAGCCTGCGTCTATCACAATTGCTTCAACGGTGCGTGGACGCGTTCTGGATCCGTCGGAAACACAAGATCCGCACTATTGGGGAGAACAGCTTACACTGCCTGTGAGATTTAGAGAGGCTGTGGAGGCGGCCGTAGCAGCAGTCAATTCCGATCGAATCGTATTTTTGGAGGTCGGGCCACAGCGTACGCTAGTTTCGGAGATCTCCAGGCGCCTGCACGTGTCTCATGCCTTCCACTCTCCTCTGATGGCCGGCGCCGTCGCGGAAATGGAAGCCATTGCCTCCAAGGTAAACTTGCAGCCTGCGTCTATCACAATTGCTTCAACGGTGCGTGGACGCGTTCTGGATCCGTCGGAAACACAAGATCCGCACTATTGGGGAGAACAGCTTACACTGCCTGTGAGATTTAGAGAGGCTGTGGAGGCGGCCGTAGCAGCAGTCAATTCCGATCGAATCGTATTTTTGGAGGTCGGGCCACAGAGGACGCTTGTGAATCTTGCAAGCCAGATTCTGGGGAAGCGGCAGCTCAACTGGGTGAAGTATGTTGGACTGGCAGGACGTGACCGCACTTCAGAATCCAGGGATGCAGTTGAAACGTGTCTGAAAGAAATATCCGTTTCGGTGGGGCCTCGCCAGGCGTGCCTCTGGAACCACAAGTGAGCTCGCGGAACCCGCCGTCTCGTCGTTGGAGGCTCTAGAATGAATATTCAAAGTAGTATTAGCATGTTTGCACACATTGTGTACACAAAGGTAATGTGTGTTGCTGTGAGCTTGCTATACCCGTTTTCCTACAGGAGGTTCCCTTTCCCACTCGAAAGTACAGAGCGACAACGCGTCCAGGCAACCGCCGGTTCATCTGGATCGACAATGACTCAAGTTGTTCACGGTCAGCTATGGAAGGTGGTATGGAAAGAGGTGGCACTGCCTAATGCGCCATCAAAATCCCTCTCCGAACGTGCACAAAACTGGCTGTTTTGCGGAGTTCCCAAGGAGCACGTTTCTGCCTTCCGCAACATTCTCAAATCGTCAAGCATAGGCACCGCTGCAGTTGTGGAGGCTGGTTGCATACAAGCAGACGCACTGCTTCCGTGCTTACCTTCTGGGCGTCTAGACAGTATCATATTTGTTGGTGGCCTGTGGAAGTCCTCCACGTCCACAGCTTGCCTCGAAGAGCTACGGGTTACGCTCCTTGCTTACTCACGATCAGCACAAAACGACCCGAGATTCAGCCCTACCTTCTGTGTCGTTGCCAGTTGCAGTAATAGGTCTTTCGGCATTTCCACTCAGCTTCATCCCAGCAAGCATGGAACTGATTCTGATGTCAGGCAATCTGGGCTCCTAGGCATGTGCCGGACAAGTCGCCTGGAAGTTCAAAGACTTTGCAGGAGGCCGTTTCCGATGTTATACGTGAATGTTGAAGACGCGTCAGCTGTATGCCTCAGCAAGGCGTGGAGTTGGATTGACAGCCAGTGCAGTTTATTGGCAAGCAAGTCATCCGCGTTAGTTGAGGAAGACATCATCATCACGGGCAGTTGCCACATGGCTCCCCGCCTAGAGCAGGTTTCAACTTCTAATTCAAAAAACAGAGTCGTCGTTTCACCCAAAAAGTCCTATCTAGTTACTGGGGGTACTGGCGGACTCGGCCTGAGTGTCGCAGAGTGGCTTCTAGAAAAGGGCGCAGGATTGGTTGCTGTCTTGTCAAGAAGTGGCAGGCCAGCTGATGCTTTGCTGCAGTCGGCATCATGGAGGGCTGTTGAAGAGGGAATCAATGCGCATCGGGCTGCGGTCATGCTATGTGATGTGTCGGATGCTCAACGTGTCAAGGATACGCTATCCAAAATCAACGGAAGCATTCCCATTGGTGGAATATTCCACTGCGCTGGGTACGAGGGAGAGGCCAGTCTTCTTGATTCTAGCCTGCGGAGTATTGAATGCGTTTACGAGCCGAAAGCACATGGAGCATGGAATCTGCACCTTGCTTGCCAAGAATTAGATTTGGAACATAGCCTGGATATGTTCGTTCTCTTTTCCTCCATCTCCGCTCTACCTGGGAATGATGCTTTAGCTACATATGCTGCTGCCAACGCATATTTAGATTCGCTGGCATTCTGGCGGAGGTCACAAGGACTTCACGCCCAAAGCATTCAGTGGGGACCGTGGAATGATGTAGGCATGGTCACAAGGAACGAAAAGCTCGGAAGGGTATTCAAGTCCCGTGGGATCAATCCATTCATGCCTCAAGAAGGCATTAAAGCTATGGAGCTGGCCTTAGAAACTGGGGAACCATGTGTGTGCGCCTTGAATGTAAACTGGAAAAAATATTCCCAGGCATTTAGCCACACTATTCCACGAGCCCTAGCAGAAATAGAATTGGAAGCGCAAAATCCTCCCAAGAGCTCTAGGGAGGAAGGCCCATCAAGAGACTCCATAGAAGCAATAGTTCTTGAGGCTGCAAAATCGTTGGTTGACCAAGGCGGACGAATCACTTCAGAAACACGTCTGGATGAACTAGGCCTTGACTCCTTGGGCTCTGTCGAGCTTCGAAATCTCCTTCAGGAACGTCTCGCAATGAGTTTGCCAGCTTCGTTGCTTCTCGAATTTGCAACCCTAGGTGAGGTTGTTAATTACATTGCTGAAGACCTCTGTGGGGGACCTACATTGAGCTCCACAAGTCGAACAACAGCTCCCAGGCGTAATCTCTTAGGAGACTCGGAAGAGGGATTCGCGGTGATTGGCATGGGTTGCCGACTTCCGGGAAAAAGCAATTCGCCTGAGGAGTTTTGGAGTATGTTACTAGCTGGGACTGACTGTGTTGAAGATATCCCATGGCAACGATTCAATATACAGCCTCTTTTCGATCCCGAGCCTGATGAGAACAAATGCTACGTAAAGGAAGCAGCCCTGCTGGATAATGCTCATTTGTTTGACAATGAGTTCTTTAAGATGACCGAAAGTCAGGCGAGGAATATTGATCCTCAGCAGCGTGTCCTACTCGAAGTGGCTTATGAAACGTTAGTCGATGCGCAATATAAACGGGAAGAGGTGAAAGGCCAGGAAATAGGGGTATTTTGTACAACGTACACCAATGATTATCAACTGTCTAGTCTGACCAAAGGAGAAAACGGTATCCTTGCTATTGGAGAAGGAATGGATGGCGGTGTACCCCGCTTAGGTGAAGCATCCGGATATCCTGAGCCAGGTGGTATGATGTGCTTGATCCCCAACAGGATATCGTACTCCTTTGGCTTTATCGGACCCAGCGTTGGCGTTGATACCGCGTGTGCTTCAGGCCTAGTAGCCCTGGATACAGCGATTTCGAAGCTGAGACTGTGTGCATGCTCAAAAGCGTTCGTTGGTGCAGTTAGTTTGATCCTCGTTCCTTGCTTCTTCTTGGGTGGAAGCAAGACTCGACAATTCTCAAAATTTGGCAGGTGCCGCACATTTGACGCTGGAGCAGATGGTCTAGTACGTGGTGAAGGGGCTGCCGGAGTCTTGCTTGCGCCCTTATCCACTGCACGGTCAGAGTCAAAATTCGTGCACGCTATTGTGCGCGGCACGGCAATATCTCATTATGGGCAGGGTGCACGGTTAACAGCGCCAAATACTAGAGCTCTTGCTAGAGTTTTGAGCCTGGCGCTAAATGATAGTGGAGTTGACCAATCCATGGTGAGGTGCTACGAGGCGCATGGCACAGCTACAGTTCTCGGAGACATCATAGAAATGAATGCACTCAAGCAGGTGTTTGAAAACCGGTCAGACGAAGCCCCACTGATCGTCGGTACTGCACACAATAATATCGGGCACCTTGATTCGGCTGCAGCATTAGTTGCGTTTGTGAAAACCGTCCTCTCTCTCAAGCATCGATATGTGCCACCAAATATCCAGTTCAGCAAGATACATCCAGACATTGGGGCTTTCGACACACGGAAAATAGTTTACACCCGAGAGGGCCAAGCTATCCGTACCGCTGATAACCAAACAAGAATATTCGGTGCAAACCTTGCCTATGGTCTGGGTGGTACAGTGGTGGCCGCAATCACCGAAGAGGGTGACGACCCTGGAAAAGCACCGCAGGTGAGAAATTCCTTTGGCGCGTTTGCATTTACTGTGGCTGTTCACAAAGGCAATAAGTGCCTCCAATCACTGGATGCAGTCATAGGACTGCTAGGATTTCAGTTGGGCCTGAGCAGTGTTAAAAGATTCCCTATGTCAATGTTTGCAGGTGGCGCGTCATGTTTGGAAGCACAATTCCTTTCCCCTAGATTCTCAGAAATTTGTCTTCTTACTGGGAGCAGCAGCACAGCTGGCGCAAGACAGGAAACACACTCCTCGGGACGATGCAGCCTCCTTGATCAGCTGCATCTGCAACGATATGCTTAGCAAGCAGAACCTGGCATCGTTGAGCCCTTCCACGCCCCCTGACTTGGTTTCTGAGATCTTTTTAACCGGAGCTACGGGACTCACTGGCAGCCGCATTTTGTTAAGTCTACTGGAACAGCAAGTGGACGGCAGGAACGACGGCCGGAAGGGGTTCCCTCGCATTTACTGTCTGGTCCAAGCACGCGACCGCATGCACGCTATGTATAGAATTGTGGATGCTGTTGTAGGGAGAGGCAATCAGTGGAAGCAACGCTTCTTTGAGCAAGTCGTGCCAGTCGTCGGGGATTTGAGGGCGCAAAGGCTGGGCCTGTCTCAGAAGACATTTGATGAATTGGCGAATAAAGTCGAGGCAGTTTACCATGCTGGAAGGGTTGTAGATTTTGCACTGCCATATGAAGCAATACGTAAGGCAAACGTCCTGTCTCTTCTGCCTCTGGTCGAGTTGTGTACGACAGGCAAGGCCAAACACCTTCACGTGCTGTCAGACTTTGCGGCCCACATCCAGTACTTTGGAGCATTCGCTGGTGACCTCAACCAGCCAATATTGGAAGAATTATCTGTCCCGCAACCATTGATGGACAGGATGGAAAACCAAATGCCCGCAAGTGTCATGGGTTACCCGTGGGCACGCTGGGCTGTCGAAGAGGTACTTGCTAAGTGTCAGAGTTGGATGGGTAACCTGCATGCATCAGCAGGGGGCGACTTCCACGACATCAAAACCAAGTTCAGATTCACAATATACAGGCTGCCAAATTCTGCAGTATACTTCGATAATGGCAGAGTCGACTTCCTGAATCCATTTTTTACGATTACGATGGCTGCCTTGCAACAGGGTCTAATCCCTCCGGGAGTTTTACCTGTAGGGCCTCCCTTCCTAAGCACGCCCATTGATATTTCAGCAGACATCTTAGTTAAACTTTCAAGGCTCCCCCATCGTCCAACTGTCATGCACATTGTCAACCCGGTTGGGGTCCGACGGGAAGCGGTCAACCAAACTCTGCTTGCTCTAAAGATTCCATTCCGAGAGTCATGCGAAGATGAATTCCTCCGAGGAATCGAAAACAACCAAAATGGCTCAGCCGCTTACACGTTGCTTCCGGTTATGCGTGTAAGTCAATATGCATGGGAGAAGAGCACAGAATGAAGGGGACGCAGCCCTTTTATCCACAAGCACAATGAAGAACAATTAAGTGTCTACATCAAAAATTCGTAGGAGCTTGATCCTATGGCATCTGCTAGCGCCCCACCGGCCCGTTCAACAGGAGGCTCGCAAATTAAATTATTGCCTTGCGCAATGCAAATGTGACGTTGCTATACATGCGCTGCAGTTTTGGAGGCGTTACTGGTTCTCTGAAGACCTTGACAGGAGCGACGCCTTCCCACTTTCCACAGCAAATGTAGAGGCCTGTCTTCCCAACGCTTTGAACCAGTTCCCCCATCCTAGTGAAGTTTGGACGAGAATTCTTGCCTACTGGTAAGTTGGATGTGTGCCAGGTAAATAGATACCCTGTGCCGAGCGAACTCTGTTGCTCTGTTTAGACGTATTAGGCATTCGCGAAGCTCAGAAGGTTGCTATCGCGAAGGAACGCAGGCTTCTCAGGAGTTCAACGTGTAGCCGAGGCAAACGAGTTGACTTTTAAAAAGTTTTTTCCAGAGATATCCCGGCCCCAATAGACCATTTTTGATGATAGCTGAGGCTCCAGATATCTGTTTTGTGGCATTCTTCTCAGCTTGACGAACTACCACCTAATCAGGGACCCCTTCGACAGCATCTTGCCGATGGGATTCCTACAACGTGTTGGTTCCTCGCTTATTGCAACGAACTTGTTCGGACGTATGTCAACCGACACGCAGAATATGCTAAAATTGGCAGTGCGTGGTGAAGCCAACAAGGAGATAGAACAGGCGCTTGATTGGCACAGCAAGGAATTCGAGGCTACTCATTTTTTCAGTTTCCTTTCTGCCTTGCGATAGAACTTTCTACTGCAGCGATACCGCGTTATGCGTGGCGTTCGGTTGTCAGTTCTAACAACACTGACTCCACAGCTCTGCAGATGCTTCCAAACACATTCATACACCGAAATGCACGTTCTCCCTTATTGACTTGCCCTTCAGGAAGTGCATTCAACTTAATTTATAAAATAAGAGTGTATGCTAGAGCTGAGCTCATTCTCATATTACTCAACGAGCACAGTGGAATTGCATAGCTAATTCTACGGCGAAGAGACCACAGTTAATCAATGCTACCGTTCTACTTTCCGCCGCACGCTTTGCCTATGCCCAAGCGTTCTTTTCAATAGCGCAGTAGTTCAGACGCTTCCATATCCTGGAGAACGCATAAACCGTGATGAGTCAGTCTATGAAGGAAGAGCTGTCTCCTGCTCCATTCAGCAATGCCGAATGGGCGGGGGATGAAACTACTCGTCGCACCCATAGATCAAGGAGGGGAGAAAGGTGTATTGCTTGTTCCGGTCAGTTGTATTCCACTGCTTCGCACCAGGCCCGTCAAACCACCGTCGGAAAAAAATGTCGGCCGTTTTGTCGCAAGGTAAGGTTGAATGCAAGCGTTCGCTTCAGAGGTTCCTCCGGGCGCGAAGAAGTGCCATTTTTTCTTCATTGAGCCGCGCAGGAACAGTAGAAGTCGGAGTGAGACTTGAGTGCATATACATATATATATGTATATATATATGTATATCCATATGTATATATATATATATATATTGGCGTGTTCCGTGCAAAAATGCCTTTTGCGAACAGAACCTGTTCAAGCTTATGCAGATGTCTCGTACTAACGTGCCGACGTGCCGCCAGGCTGCTCTACACCGTTTATTATATATAAACACAGTTATAGAGCAAGTCCTGCGATGGCGTATGCATATGGTGAGAGTGAAACATTTCTTCTTTTTCTTGTCGAAGGACTTTCGAAGCAATATGACACTTGCACAATCCACTAAAGCAATGCGGCGGGCCGCCTTCCTGCATCACTGCTACGAAAGATTTTTCTTGCCATCTCCCTGTACCCGAAGTTCTCTACGAACACGCTTCGTAGCAGAACTTCTATTTTGTTTCCACGCGCATTGTAAGTGGTGGCAGAAAAAGCATTTTGAAGTGCCGAACTTTGTAGCCCAGTTCCGACTTGCTTACACGTATTCTGTAGCATAGTGTCCTTATTACTGAGTTTTGCAAAATCAAGTGATACCTTGAGACCCAGCACGAAAATGCTTAGTAGAAAATGCTTGGTAGGTTGCCTGACCTTATATGCCTGGTAAGCACTTCAACAGTGGAAGCATCGTCGTTATCTGGTTGTCCCCATGGAACGGAACTGCTCGCCAAGCTGGTGGTTCTTCTGCTCAGCAGAACTGACGTGACATTATGATCTAGTTGGAACAAGAAAACAAGGCATCGTAGAATACTGTTTGCAAACGCTTCCATGCAACCGGTGGAGTCGGAAGTAAATAGAAACGGATGACGTGGGTGATATCCTCATCCATCCAGGGAAAGACCTCTAGAACATAATGAAAATATGGTCCCTTTAAGCGTTCCGAACTTCTGCTTTGGCCTGCTCCATGGAACTCAAGCTGTACTCCCACTCCTTGGAAGCATGCCACCTCGCCAGTTTCCTGTTAGAGGTTTGCTCCCGTTCTGGTGTGGTAGGGCCCATGGTTTCCCTCTGACCCTCTCTGTGGATAGATTAATGCGCTAGTTATTAGTGGACTGTACAATTTCTGCCGTGCCAGTCTGGGATATCCAGGTCCACCGATTCTACTGCGTCTGTGAAGGTCTTGGGCCTTCACAGCCGAAGCCCTGTTGAAGGAGCTTAACGTAGGGAATGTATGCATTTTTCCGTGATTCCAGGAAGTGCATCTGGCCTGCAGTGGGGCTTCGTTACTAGTGTAGCATACTCTGCCCAAATTTTGCATGCACTTCGACTTATTAGACAGTATGCCGGCGAGTAGAAGTACAATAATAATTCTCAACAGGGTTAGTGCAGAGAGCAAAAGGGGGTTTGTGCTTGCATAAAGCTGCCCCGAAGCACTACTTGCAACGAGGTGCGTTTTAATGCCTGTCAGGGGGCATCCTATACTCCATCACCAGAACGTCTGGGGATGAGAGAGGAGACCAACTGGTTTGAAGAACCCTCACATGAAGGCTTTTCGTTCGGTTTCAGCTCACCAGAGTCCTGCGACAAAATTGCAGACTGTCTCAACAGCTAAAGACACTGATTCCATCCCCCCTTCCTTAGAGGGTAAATGAGCTGTTGGGAGAAATAAGATGCGCACTTTCATTGCACACAGACCAATTCGTTGACCCTAGAACGATGGTTAAACCCTTTGCCAGTGTGTGGCAAAGTGTAAAGGCTTTCATGTTCTTTTGGGCCTGGCCAAGCGTTCGAGCCCACTCCGAGTTGCGTGGGTTAAGTGCAAATTCCGATCGTTTTCGTCGCAATTCTGTGCCTTCCAGATATACTTTCTGCTGAGTCTGGAAGTCTACTGCGCAGTGTGGCACTGTAGCCAAGCTGTTGACCCGCCGGGGGTCAGCATGAGAATTATGATTATTACACTTCCTCCTTCAGGAGGATTGGGTCCAGCATACGAATGAGAAACTATTTTTTGATATTTTAAGGTTATTTTAAGAGTTATGCATTGAGTGCAGCGTGTATACATCGAATGTGCACATAACTAGGTGTACGTCGGACAGGTAAGTAGTGGCAGCTGAGAGCGCCGTTCACTAGACCAACACTTTGGGTGAGCGGCTCACCGTAGACCGCCAAAAGTTCCTGGCTGAATGCTCCACCGGAATATCGGCTTCCTCGTAGATATATGACGCACAGTTTTGCGCTTTACTTGAAGTCTTTGCATGGCGTGGGGTGGGGGAGAAGCATAGTGTGCATAGTCCATGGTGATATCGTATGGTACCAGGAGAAGTTCACGCTTCACCTGTTACCATAAGATATCACAATCTGTGGTGTAGCGAACCCGCCGTCCACCCGTCGTCCGTTGTTCAGCTTGGCAAGAACCGCACACGCATGCGTAGGTAGTCAGCAAGAGAAACGCAGCTGGGGGAGAATAAAAGAATCATCACACCCAAGTGCAGTTGGAGATCACAGCTGAGGCAATTGAACGTCCTGGTGGTTTTGCAGTTGCTGCTGCGTATCCTGTTTCCGTTGAGCATACGGCGCTTGGGCTTCTCTTGCCTTCTGTACAGGTCGCTGGAGAACCCACTGCGACGCCCGTCTGTTGAGGGCGTTTTTGAAATTCTGAAATCCTAGCCAAAACAAATATATGAGCAAGCCTTGCCCAACGTCTGCTCTGCATCAAAGTGCATAGGATGCAAGGGCTAGTCTGTCAAGCTCCAAGCGGGGTTGCCTATCCCCAAAATGAGAGCAGGAAAATGCTCCTGAGGAAATGTTTCGCATACGTGACCATCATAAACCCACTCGTATTGGCGGTCCCCCGGGTATTTAACGAAGTACTCCCGTTTTTGTGGCCTCTGTGAGCCGTTCCACGTGTGTCCAGTATCGCAGTAGCTAATTTCTTGTGTGTTTCTGCCGTTTTATGGGGACTTGAAGGAAACTTCGGTGACTCCCTGAACCATCCCACAGAACCGCAATTGGTGGTATGGTAATATTTCCAAATTGGGCTCAAGTATAAGATGTAAGTCAGCGCTTTTCCACAGCTTCTCAAAGCATGCGACTGGTGCTGCCAACGCTCCTGGAAATTCCGGCCGAACACAAGTACTCTGTCCTTAAGTATAACCATACGTTTCTCTTTGATTGGCCATAATTCATGATTGTTCTGTTGCTGCAGTTAGGCGAATGCACTGACGAACACAAGAAGCAAACAGAAGTACTCTGGATTGGGAGTGTGGGTGGGGAATGCAGTTTCGTCCCTGCAAATGGGATGCATTTGGGTCTGCAGAGGAGAGCTAGTCAGGACAAATTACGAATATACCTGGGACCCACAATGGATCAAGTACTTAGTCGATCCCGCGCATCGGAAACATTCGTTTCATAATGCTTTAGTTGAGGCTTCAAGCCGAGAAACATGCAACCGTTCGTATTCTCTTCCTTACCCTGCAAGGGAATGTGACCAGCCGCACTAGTTGGTGGATAAAACTTTGCCCTTTCGTTGCAGTTCATCTGTTCTGCCCGAATATCTCTTTATGATGCGGGGTGGGATGCGGGTGGCTGGGCAGTAGGAAGCATGCTGTGTGTTAATACATCTGAAAACTCGTTTTTCAACAGCGCTCACTTTTGCTGTCCCTCTGATGTTAACTGGATCGAATACCCCAAAACAGCCGTCCCCTTTACCGTCACGATGTATTGCATATATTTCGCCGTCGGCTGTCGGCAGCACCTCTGTGCTGCGTTGAAGCGTCATCTCTACTCTCTTTCAGTACCCCGAATATTATCCCACAGTAGTACTGGCTGTAGGCCGCATGCGCGCCCTCTTCAAAGTTCCTTACGGGGTGCCTAAGATTTTGCCGTGGTAAATTGGCCCAAGGCGAAAGCCCTGTATCATGGTAGTCTACCTTATTTCTGAGTAGTGTCCGTATTTTACTCAAGAGGTTTTACCCATCTTAAGATGCTAATTCCCTGTCCGTTGAAGTGTCATCCCAGATAGTGGGCCAATGAATAAATACAATATAGTGAGGAGGTTTCACTTTGTCACCGTAGCTTTACATATCAAACCTACTTCGCAGCCAGTTTCAAGCACCGCCAGCAATTAGTGACTATTAGCTCGAATAATGGCAGAGTTGAGTTGAGGCATAACTAGTGCAGTTGCCAGCTTTCCGTGCCTGACCACTTTAACACACACTTGGCCCTCCGCCGCGCGCCTGCTCGCAAGTGGAAGCCCAAACAATACCAACTTCGAATATTTTTCGACAATCTAAAACACAGGAGTGCGTTGTACCGACTAATTTCGCTTACGTGCCACGCTACCCCTCACTGACAGCCTCTGAAGCTAGCATGAATACTGATATCTGTGATCGTTTTGGAGAATGTGTGCAGCATTTGAAAGAGGCTCCGTGTCAACTTCCGCCTTAGCGCCTCCTTCTCACTCCACGGTAGCGCAATTGTGCCGTTTGTCTCAAAGTGTCTTTCTGAATATCTAAATGCTCATTCTAGTAGCATTGAACATCCAACTGTTCGGTTCAGTCGGTGTCCGCACCGCAGTTGAGGCCATAAATCCCTCAGCGGGAGTGAAGGGAGGCCTTATTGGTGGTGTTTTAAAAGAGTAAAAGAACAAAAAAAACAAAAAGAGGCATTTGCGCCAGCTAAAAAGGAACAGGAACAACTCATAGGGGGGCAGGTGGTGTTCTGGGTCGGCGTTGGGGGGGGTGGCAGCAGGGAGCCACTGAGCAGCAGCGCCGCTGCAGGCATGTCCTATCTTTTGTTATTAAATATTTTTTTATGTTTCTTTGGCCGCATGCACCTGGGGAAAAGACTCTTTTCGGGGCTTTTGCTGCCAAAGTTGCCGCGACAGCTCACCGTTGGCGCGTGGCACTCACTGTACGTCGTTGGCTCGCTGATACTTCATTCTTTCTTTGTTTGTTTTCTTTGCTTCAAATGCAGTAGCACCTTCTTCCCTGTTCCGCAACACACAAGTGCCTCTGCCGCCTGCTGCCGCCGGAGGTGCACACATAGGCTCAGGGATACGCTTGCAGCAAGGAAACAACAGCAGCAGTAGCAGCAGCTGCAGCGGTGGTGGTTCTCTTGCATGCAGGTCATCGCCATTCAGATCAGCTTATGGGGAGACCCGCTGCTGCGCGAGCTCCGGCTGACGTATGCGGAAGCCCGCAGGGGCCCCCAGCGAAGCAACCGCCGCTGCTGCTGCTGCTGCTGTTGCTGCTGCTGCTGTTGCTGCTGCATCCAGCACGCTGGAAGCATCCGACTCCCTCCTTTCTCAGGTGCCCTGCAGTGCCAATGCCCCTGAAGCTGCACAGACACCTGACATGGCCGAGGGAACGCTAAGGCCGCAGTGGGGCCCGACCGGAAAAGAAGAGTCCGCGTCAGTTCCTGCAGCAGCAGCAACAAAAGCAACCGCAACACAAGCAGCAGGAGCTTTCTTGACACTTAAGCAAGCAGGCACAACGCATGCGAGGGACTCTTCGGGGGGTCGTCCAGAAGGTTCGTTGCTTCCGCAGCAGCAATTACTGCAGCAGCTGGAGCAGCCGCAGCAGCAGCAGCAGCGGCAGCAGCAGCGGCGGCAGGTGCACCGCACGGACTTAACAGGTCTACGCTGTGGGGCCAGGGATGCGGGCTGCACCTGCAGCAAAATCAGACCCAGCAGCAGCAGCTTGCCTGCTGCTGCTGCTGCACCGCAGCACAAGAGGCCCCTTAGCAACTGCAACGGGCTACGGATGCGCTGCTGCCTCACCCGCAGCGAGTGGGGCAGAAGCAGCAGCAATATCAGCATCAACAAAGTCCGCAGCAGCAGTACTGCAAAGAATGGCACCACACACACTGATTCGGCCGCACCGCCGACGGGCGAAGCAGCAGCAGAAGCACCAGCAGCAGCAGCAGTTCCTGCTGCTGCACAAGTTCCTGTTAAAGCCACGTTGAGACCGCCACTGTCAGGAGCCGCCGGAAGCAGCAGCGGCGGCAGCAGCAGCAGTTGCAGCTGCTGCCTACACTGTTGCTGTCCTGCTGCTGCTGCCGCCATGCGGCCGGCGCTCCCTCACTTTTTTCAGCGGTCTGCGGCACCCCCTGCTGCTGCCAAGGAAGCAGCAGCAGCAGCAGCATCAGCAGCAGGAGCGTCTTCTGCAGCACCCCCGCTGCGTGGGACGGAGGCAGCACCAACAACAGCAGCGGCAGCAACAGCAGCAGCAGCAGACGCTGTGAAGACCCCTCACCGAAGCCGTCTTGTCCCTGTGGGGCCGAAGCCCAGCAGGGCATCTCGGCGGGCAGTTGCAGCGGCCGCAGCAACACCCGCAGCGGCAGAAGCAGCAGCACCACCATCTGCAGGAGCGGAGGCAGCAGAAGCCAAAGCAGCAAGAGCAGCAGCGGCAGCAGCACCAGCACCACCGGCAGGGAAGGAGGCAGCAGAAGCCGAAAGAGCAGCAGCAGCAGCAGCAGCAGCGCAGCAAGAGCAGGATAGCTGCCACCAAGCTGTAGGAGGCTGGCAGGTCCCTCTCAGTTTGCCTGTGCCTCTTTCGTTGGCTCCTGCGTCCTATGCTTGTCGCGTGATGGCAGCAGCTTCTGCTGCAGTTGGTGCTACGGCTGCCGCTGCAGCGGCTGCTGCAGCAGCATCGCCGCACTCCGCAGCAGCAGCCGCAGCAGCAGCAGAAGAGGATCTTCGGCTGAAACGACTTCATGTGGAAGATGCTGTGCTGCTGCTGCAGGTTGCCTTTGACCTGCAGAGACACTCCGTGCTGCTGCCAACGCTGCATGTGGTGGGGGATGACGGGGCCCCTGCAGGGTTGCAGCCCTGTGGAGCGCTCCTCTGCAGCAGCCGCAGCAGCAGCAGCAGCGGTAACAACAGCAGCAGCAGCGGCAAGCATGACAGCAGCGGCAGCTGCGGAAATCCAACGGGATCGGCTTCTGCTGCTTCTGCTGCTGCTGCTGTTGCAGAGCATGAAGACGCACCGCAGGGGTCTGGGGCCCCTGCTTGTAGCAGCCTTGGGTGCAACAGCAACACGGAGGTGCTGCTGCCACATTTGCCAGTCATTACTCCGGAAGAGCTGCAGCAGCTGCATGCAGCAGCAATTCGGCTCTATGGAGAGGGCATGGTTCCTTCTTTCTGGCAGCAGCAGCTTTTTCTTAATCAGCAGCGGGTTGGCCAGAACTATGCGCTGCAGCAAGCGCTGTATCGGTTGCTGCAGCAGCAAGAGCTGCCGCAGCAGCAACACTGCCAACACCAGCAGCTGTGGCAGCTGGAACAGCAGTGGCACCAGCAGCAGTGGCAGCTGCATCAGTGGCAGCTGCACCAGTACTGGCAGCAGCAGCAGCAGCAGCAGCAGCAGTACCCGCATTACTTCCGCAACTCAAACAGGCAAAACGCACGGTGGGCCAACATGAGGCCTGCCGGAAGGCAGCAGAAGCAGCAGCAGCAACAACAGCAGCAGCACCCGCAGAAGCAGCAGCAGCAGAAGCAGCAGCAGCCGAAGCATCCTTCCCGCACATCCCGGCAACACCACCGTCGTTTTGCAGCAAATTCTTGTCCACCTGCTACAAGAGCAGCATCAGGTACAGCAGCAGCAGCTGCTGCTGCTGCTCCTGCTGCAGGAGAAGCTGACAACTCCGTTCCCTCAGAGGCTGCACCTGCTGCTGCTGCAGAGCGTGCTGCTGCTGCAGCACCCCGTGGGGCTGTTGCTAGCAACAGACGCCAAGCAGGCACCAGACGCCCTCGCCGCTCTGGAGCAGTTGTTGTTGCTGGCAGTGCTTGCAGCGGATCAGCAGCAGCAACGGCAGCAGAAGCAGCCAGGCAGCGTGCTGCTGAAGTATCTGCTCGCCACAAGGCCTTTCGCGGCCTTTGTGCTGCTTTGGGGTTTATGGCTGGCGCCTTGCTGCAAGAGAACGAGAGCAGCAACAACGCAGAGGCAGTTGCAGTAGCAGCAGGACCAGCAGCAGCAGATACCAGTCCTCGAAGTGCGGGGACCCGCTCCAGCAGCAGCAGCAGCAGCAGCAGCTCCTGCAGCAGTAGCAACGGCAGCAGCAGCAGCGGCAGCAGCAACAAACTCGCTGCTGCTAGGAACCCAAAAGGAGGCCTGGAGGTCTCTACGCTGCCCGCAGCAAAGCTTGTAGCTTCGAAAGAAAGCAGCAGCAGCAGTAGCAGCAGCAGCAGCAACCGCAAAGGCAACAATACCAACAGCAACAGGAGCAGCAGCGGTGTGGTGGAGTTACCCTGCGCTGCTGCTAAGCCCAGGAGGAATATATCAGAGGCTGATAGAAGCTGCAGCCGCGAAAGTCTGAGGGGCCCCCAAGGGGGGCCCCCCGGCATCAACAGCCCCGAGGGTCCCTCATGGGTTTCAGAGGGTCTCGCAGCAGCAGAAGGCTCTGCCCCCTAGCGAACGAAGTGCTACTGGCTGCTGCAGCTGCTGTAGCGCCTGCTGCTGGAGCTGCTGCTGGAGCTGCTGTTGCTGCTGTTCCTCGGGTATGCGCTGTCTTCACTGGGGCCCCCCGCAGGGCCCCACAGAATGTGGAAGCACCGCAACAGCGGCCAGCAGGGCCCCCTGGGGACCCCAAAGAGAGGGGGCCCCCAGAGGTGCGGCATCCTTGCTGCCTTAAGGGTTCTGCACAGGGCCTGACGAATAAACTTTTGTATGGGGGGCCCCCAAAGGGCCCCTGTAGCTCCTAGGCCTCCAAGGGAGCCCCCTCAAAGGCCTCCTTGGCAGGGGCCCCCCAACAAGGGCCCCTAGGGGGGGCCTCACCCACCGATACGGGCTGTGCTGTGGCACTCAAGACCCCAGGGGGCCCCCGTCCCCGAAGGGGGCCCCTCCTGAAGAGGAGGGGGCCCCCCGTTGGGTGCTTACGCATGCCCTCTAGTGCAAGGGAAGCCTAAAAGAGAGGCTCCGACCTGTAGTTTTTGTTTGATATCTGAAGCGCAATTGCTACCCTCTTCCGCTACCCTCAGCAGCAGCAGCAGCAACAGCACTGGCAGTACCAACAGAAACAGCGATAGCCGCATTAGCAGAGCAGCAGCAGGAATAACAGCGGCAGCAGCATCCGAAAGTGCTGCAGCAGCAGCAGTGTCCTTGTGCAGCAGCAGCAGGCGCACCCATTCAAGTGGCAGCAGCAACAGCAGCAGCACAGCAGCAGAAGCTCCAAAAAACAAATTCTAAGTTATAGATTCAAGAGCAGCAGTTGGGGAAGAGGCGCAAAGAGCCTCACAAAACCAAAAGGGGCCTCCCACTAGCCCCCAGCTAGCTGTGTTGCTAGCTGTCTAGCTAGCTGTCTAGCTAGATGGCTAGCTCGTTGCTATCTGTCTACGTACATAGTGTCTGTATAGCTATCTGATAGCTGCCTATCTAGCTGCTACCTTTCTAGCTAGCGGATAGCTGCCTACCCAGCTGTTATATGTTAGCGGCTGGTTGTTTAGCGGCTAGCTAGCTGATCGCTAGCCAGCTTCTTGCTGGCTAGCTGCTCGCTGGCTAGTTGATTGCTAACTAGCTGCTTGCTAGCTAGCTCGACGGTTAGCTGCTTGCTGGCTAGCTGTTTGCTAGCTAGCTGTTCGCTGGCTAGCTGTTTGCTAGCTAGCTGTTTGCCTGCTTTGCAGCTAGCCGTGCGCTTGGAACTCAGGAGACGACGAGCAGCACGAAGAGAGCAACAGCAATACAAAATAACCAAACAATCGCCCACAGCTGCCGCGTGTCTGCAGCAGCAGCGCAGCAAACAAACACAGAAAATCTGCTTCTACAGCGTTAACCAGCCCTCGCTAGCTATAAGACCCTACCCTACCGCTAGCCATAAGACCCTACAGCTAGCCATGAACAACAACAGCTAGCCGCGACTAACAACAGCTACCTACGATACCAAAAACGAGCTGCAGCCCAGCGCTCAGCACTTCATGCAGAAGCCACAACAGCCTCAGCAACTGCGCCAGCAACAGCGCCAACAGCAGCAGCAACAGCGCCAGCAGCAGCAGCGCCAGCAGCAGCAGAGCCAGCAGCAGCAGCACAAGCGGAGTGCGGCATACCAGAGCTGCGGACGACCCTAGCTAAGCGCCGCATCAGGAAGTTCATTTCGGTAGCTGCAAAACAAACAGAAGATATGCTGCTGCTGCTGCTGCTGTGTCTTGCTGCATCAGCTGCCTACGCAACCGCTCAGCAGTAACAGCATCAGCACCACTAACAGCAGCAGAACCGCCAGCGGCAGCAGCAAAAGCAGCAGCACTATCACCAGCAGCAACGGCAGCAGCACCGCCACAAGCAGCAGCGGCAGCAGCACCATTAGCAGCATCAGCAGCAGCAACAGCAACAGCAGCACTACCACCAGGTGCACTACCCCCAGCAGCAGCTCCAGGAAAAAGAACAACAGCAACAACAGCAACAGCAGCAGCGGCAGCAGATCTACCTTGTCTCTCAACAGTATCATCTAAGTCCGTAAGCATTCGTTGCTGTGTCGCCAACTCTTGATTTATTGTCAAAGCTGTTTCGTGCAGCCGCGAAGCAGCAGTTGCCAGCTCTTCCAGCTGCTCGTCCTGCTGCTGCACCAACGTCTGCACGCATCACCAGCAGCAGCAGCATCAGAAGCAGCAGCAGCAGTAGTAGCAGAAGCAGCGATAGATAAGCAACGCAGCAACAAACCACTGCAAAACCAATCCCTAAACCCCAAACCCTCAGCCTTTACCCTCTAGATGCAGGCTGCTGCAGCAGCAGGCTCTTCTGCTGCCAACACCTACTGCTGCTGCTGTTGATGCTACTGTTGCTGCTGCTGCTGCTGTTACCTGCTGCTTCTGTTCGGCTTCTTCGAAGAAGTCCCCGTGGGGTGTGGGGCCCTCATTCAGCCACAGCTGAGAGGCCCCTGCCGCCTGACAACCACAAACCCTAAACCCTAAACCCTAAACCCTAGATCCTACAGTTCCTCCAGCGAAGCTAGCTGCAGAGCTGCAGGGTTTAGGGTTTGAGGAGGGGTTTAAACCCTCTGCGGCTAAGGTTTCGGTGTTAATGCATGAGGGTTTACGATTGGGTGTGCACTTAGAAGAGCGCTAGGGTTTAGGGTTTAGGGTTTAGGGTTAGGAGACCTTAACGTCTGCGCGTAGGGCGTCGAGTTGCTGCTGCTGCTGCCGCACGAATTGTCTCCTTCTCTCCACTTCATCTGCATGCAGCCCCAAACGCTGCTGGTGTTTGGCTGCAACAGCAACTGCCTTTTCTAAGGCGCGCAAATCCTCTGCCAGTGCCTCCGCTGAAGCATCAATAGTGCTCTTTAAACTGCAACCAGCAGCAGCAGCAGCAGCAGCAACAGCAGCAACAGCAGCAGCACAACAGCAGAAGCAACAGCAGCAGTTTGTCGGTATATCTGCGTGTTAAAAGAATTATGTTTCAAAGGGTGTAAATGCATCTAGAGATAAATATTTAAACCCCTCTATATGAATAGAGACACTTGAAAGAATATGTCTGCATGCATGCAAATGCAGTTCACAATTTGCCGCCTTCCACCCCTCTGCGAATTTCAAACGACTCTATGCCTATATATACATATATATATGTATATATATATATATATATGAATGTCAAACGACTCTATGCTTACATATATATATATATATATATATGTATATATATATATATATATATAAATGTACATATATATACATATATAAATATATATTTATTGATTTATATACATGTAAATATGCATATATATATGCATATATATGTATCTACACACATATATATTTGTATATATGTACGTCTGAAGCATGCAGTCAGACACACGCAGCGGTGTACATACACCCCAGGTCTCTCTGGTGTATATACACTTGGTTTACCTGCTGCACTTGGCAGGGTGGCCGCGGGTTTGCAGCTGCTGCTTCCATTCGTGCTGCAGCTGCTGCAGCTGCGCGAAGTTCGCCTGCACCTCGCTGCAGCACAACAGCAGCAGCAGCAGCAGCGGCAAGAGCAGATATGCGTTTCAGCTGTTTGCGCAGCTCCCCAGACCCTGCTATTAAGATTCCTTTCTACTCTTTTCATTCACCATAAACCTGAAGACTATGAAGCGGCCAAAGTCAGCTGCTGCCGCAGCAGCAGCAGCACTTCCTGCAGCATCAGCAGCAGCCGCAACAGCAGCAGCAGCGACAGCAGCAGCCGCGGCATTTGCTGAAGCAGCCGTGAGGTAACCTACTCGCGAGCCGCATAGAAAGGGTCCCCCAGGCCGTTCTCCAGCATCTTCAATGCAACAACAGCAGCAGCAGCACTGACTCTCTCCTGTTGCTGCTTTTACTTTGCTTCGATCGCTGCTGGTGTTGCTGCTGCTGCAGAAGCGTCGCTCTTGGTCGCACCTGTGCTGCTGCTACTGCTGCTGCCGCTAGTGTTGTTCGTGCTGCAGCATCCGTGTAAGCCAGGCGCTCGTCCTCGTGTGGCTACCAGCAGCAGCAGCAGCAGCAGCTGCTGCTGCTGCTGCTGCTGAGTGTTGCAGCTGTAGGTGGGCCTTAAGGCCTTATCGGCTACACCCGAGATGTTTTCTCATTAAAACGAACAAAGAGAGTTGTATTGAGCAGCTAGCTGGTGGCTTTGCCCCTTGAAGCCAATCCCTTGCAGCTGCTGCTGCTGTTGCTGCTGCTGCTGCTGCTGTTGCCGCTGCTGCTGGAGGGCGTAGCAGGGGGTCGAAGGCTCCCCATAAAAAGTCAGACTCAAATAATATATTTGTTATTCTATTTCAACAATAGAAACATAAAAGACATGCAAATAAATATGCATGCAGCCCCAGACCGCTGCCGACTGCGAGCAGCCAGACAGCTGCCAGCAGTATTTTTGTATCGCATTGCGTATGATTTCTTATTATTTATTTATTTAACTTGATCCAATTAAATAAATAAATTATTAAATTAATTTATTCACGGTTTATTTTCTGGTTTCTGCTTTGAAAGAATTTCAAAAGACAGCGGCAGTTTCTTCCTTAGCTCTCAGCCACAGTTTATTTTTGTATATTTATATTATGAAGTTTTTAACTTGTTTTAAAGAAGTAATAAATTAAATTCTTTTTTGTATATTTTATTTTAATGTTATTTATTTGTTTTGCAGAAACAAAAAGTTAGGCCTTTCTTGTAAATTTTTATTCTAAAAGTAATTTACTTGTCTTCGAGAAATAATAAACTAAATATTTTTTGTATGTTTTTATCTTGAAGTTTTTAATTTGTTTTGATGTCCATCGACTCCGCATGCAAATTGTCTTTCTTTGCAAAGCAACAGGAACAGCAGCAAATATTTCTGTGTTTGTCTGTTCTTCATTAATACACAAAACAAGAAGAATACATACCGCTACATAATAATATAACAAAGAAGAAAAAAAATAAACTTTATAACCGCACACTATTATGTTATTTTACTATATAATAATAATATTAAAAAAGGAAGAAGACTAATAGCTGTATCCAGCCGCTGCTCTGTCTATCAGTGCGACATAGAGAAGGGCTTTATTGTTCATAGACACTGCAATAAAAGTATTTTTAAGTTTCACTCAGAACTAGCAGCAACAGCTGTCCCTCCTTAAGGTTTGCTGCTGCTGCTGCAGCAGCAACAGCAGCTGCAGCAGCCTTTCTTGTTTGTCTTTGGTGTTTTTCTGCTAAGTAGCAGCCTAATTACGTGCAAGACACAGAAAGCCCGAAGAAGAAATAATATTACTCTGCAGTACATATATATATATATATATATATATTCAAATAAATATACAACTGTTGTTTGTTTCCTTGCTGTGGCTGCTACCACACCTTAACGATAAGGCGGATTGTCTCTCTTTATCTTTGTCTCTACCCCTGTCTCTGTTTTTATTTTTCTGTCTCTGTCTCTTTCTGTCTCTGTCTGCATTTGTCTGTCTATCTTTTTTTCTGTCTCTGTTTCCCTGTCTTTGCTTTCATTTATCATGCAATCTCTGTCTCTCTCTGTCTCTATATATAACTGCAGAAGGTGTGTCTCTTGTTTTCTCTGTCTCCTTTTTCGTTTAGTCTTTCTTTGCCTCCTCACGATAACCAACACAATTCATTAAACCCAAAGTCTCTGTCTCTGCCTCGCCCCGCTGCTTGCTCTTTTGCTGCTGCTGCTGCAGCAGCAGCAGCAAAGGAAACTGCAGCAGCAAGTGCTGCAGCTCACAGGCGCTGCCCGCTACTACTGCTGCTGCCGTTGTGGCAGCAACTGCAGCAGCAGCAGCAACTGCAGCAGCAGCAGCGAGCGCAGCAGCAGCACGTGCAGCAGCAGCAGCAAATGAAGCGTTTATATAATGCCTATTTTGTTTGCTACATCAAGAGCATCATACTCAGGGCTCAGACGGACGTACGCCTTCTTCTTCCCATCCATCCTAAACAAATACAAAAAACAAACATATAAATAAATAAATATATATATATAACTATATATATATTATATACACGGTATGTCGTAGTGAGATAATATAAAGTTTGCATGCAATAATTTGTTGAATGTACGACTGGTATATCGTAATATGCACTTCTATACGCATGTCTATTAACTGTTTACTTTTCTATTTATTTATCTATTTATCTACCTATGAATAGTTATATATATATATATATATAAACTATATATATATGTAGGAACGTGTATACAGTAGTACTACACATACAATGGCGCATATTATATACCCCTATAGACCAAATGAATGTATATATATATATATATATATGTATATGTAGATATATATATATATATATATGTATATGCATACATCTATATATATATATATATGTATATGCATACATCTATATATATATATATATATGTATATATATACTCTGCATAATGTACATGATAGAATATCTCATAAGTGTGGAGAGAGGAGACAAAAGAGAGACAACACGAAACGCATGCATGCAAAGAATAAAACATTTTTGAGTTTGTTCGAAGGCCGACTGACAAAGAGAAATATATTTAAATCCTCTTCGTTAATAAACCTTCATCTCTTCTACCCCTCATCTATACACCCGCCCGAGTAAAGAAGAAGACAGGCAGAAAAAAAATAGAAAGGGATATATGCATGCAAATTTATCTCTTTGTCGTCTTGTTCTCTATAATGTGATATATATATATATATACACTATATAACGCATATATATATACATATACATATATATGATACATATGTATATATATATGTATATTATATATATATGTATATATTACATATATATGCAGTGTATGTATTATATATAAATGTTTTGTTCCTTCATTTGTATTATTATATCTATCTTTTTGTTTAAGTTGCTTCTTCATATTAATTATGTTGTTATATATAATTTTATTTGTTTTATTCTATTAGATTTATTTTCTTTTAATTTTATATTTCTTTCTTTGTTCTATGGCGAAGTCTATTGTGTTTAATTTCTTCATTAAATATCTCCTCTGCATATAATAATATATTTAAATATACTTAAACCTTTATGATTATTTGTCTGCGATAGTGTTTGACGAACAACACTAACTTTATTATTATTTATTATATTTTATTTTATTTATTTAATTTGTCTGTCTGCTTACCGAATAAGAGTATTGACTTTCTGTGCTTCTACTCCGTATGTTTGTTTAATTGCATCTTTAATATTTCTTTTTGTTGCTCGAGGATTGCACAGAAAAACAATTGTGTTAGTCTCTTCAATCTTCTTCATTGCACTCTCTGTTGTTACGGGGTGCTGCAGCACATGATATTTATCTATTCTTTGTAATGCAGGAACCGGGTTTGCTGTCCATAGACGAGACAGACGAGGGGCGCGAGGGCTCCTTGGCTTCTTTAATGTCCGGGGCCTAAGCAGCAGCAGCAGCAGCAGCACAAGCGAAAGAAAATGAACCCAGAAGCACAAACAGAGAGAAAATGTACACGTAGTAGCAGCAAAACAAACCCCGCAACAGCAAATATACAGCAGCGCAGCAGGTGCTGCAGCACCAGCAGCAGCTGCTGCTGGTGATACTGCAGCAGCAGCAGCAGCAGCTGGTAATCTTACCTGTAGAAACGAACATTGTAGCGCGCCTTCACTGATGCTGTTCTGCTCGTCTTCTTCAGGCCCTTGCTCGTTGCTTCTGCCTTCTTTACCTTCTTTTCCACAGCAGCTTTGCTGCTCTTTGTTGCTGCAGCAGCAAACAACGCAACAGCAAAACCAAACAGTAACTAATGCTGCAGTCCTCAAGCTAATGTTGCAGTGCAGCTGCTAATGTTGCAGTGCAGCTGCTAATGTTGCAGTGCTGCTGCTAGTGTTGCTGCTGCTGCTGCTAATGGTGCTCGTGCTGGTGCTGCTGCTGCTGTTAGTGGTGTGGTGCTGCTGCTAGTGCTGCAGCTGCTGCTCATGCCGCTGCGTTTAACACTCTAACGCCTACAAACGCTGCAAATGTAGGAGAAGGCCTAGACACCAGAACAACACTGCTGCTGCTGCTGTTGTTGTTGCTGCATGTGCTGCGGGGCGGGGCCCCAGAGCAGCCGCACATGCAGCAGCAGCAGTAGCAGCAACAGCAGCAGCGCAATGGCTGCAAAGGCCCTTAAATGTGTCTCAAGAGATAAACTGCAATATATTTCTTGCTGCAAACTGACGGTACTTGCAAGCTGCAACAGCAGCAGCAGCAGCAGCAGCTGCTGCTGCTGCTGCTGCTGCTGCTGCTGCGTGGGGTGCTGAAGGGTGTTGGGGGTCTCACCTTTTTCCTTCGGCGCCATCTTCTCTTAGGAGGAAAAAGAAAGAAAGAAAGAAGGGTTAATAAAGAAAAACAAAGATAAACCCCTTTTATATCCTCCTCAGGTGTTGCTGCTGCTGCTGCTGCTGCTACTGCTGCTGCTGCTGCGACTTCCAGGCCCCGCTGCTGCGGCGGCTCTTGCTTGCTGCTGCTGCTGCTGCTGCTGCATGCAACTGCATGCTGCTGAGCACTATTTAAACAACAAAAAATAAAAGATATTAGTTATTGATTTAATTTGTTCATTTTTTTGTTTTCTTTTATTTATATGTGCAGCTTTCCCACTAAAGACGGCCGCAAGACTTCAGCTGCAGCCGCCGCCATAGCAATTGCTGCTGCTGCTGCTGCTGCTGCTGCTGCTGCTGTAGTGAGAGGGGGCCCACCTGGGGGCCCCCTTTCTTGCCTTCTCTAGCGTAGACTTTATAATTAAAATAAGTGTTTTTAATTCCGGGTGTTAATATAGATCTTTTCAACTCCTTTTCCTTCTGAGACAGCTCTATAGCTGCTGTTGCCGCTGCTGCTGCTGCTGTTGCCGTTGCTGCCGGTGCTGCTGCTGCTGCTGCAGCACATCTGCTCCTGCACAGCTGTCGAGGTGTACGTACACCCCGGGCCCCACATGGGGGGCCCCGGGGGGGCCCCAGGGGCCCTGGGGCCTCGCGTGCGGCTACCTAACCCGCTTGTATTTCTTGATGTGGCTGTTGGCGGAAGAAATGCAGGAAGACTCATCTTCCAGGTCTGTGCTGCTGTTGTTGCTGCTGCTGCTGCTGCTGTCTGTGCTTTTGGAAATGCAGCTGTTGCGGTTGTTGCTGCTGCAGGCGCTGCTGCTGTAGGAGCTGTTGGTCCTGCTGAAGCTGTTGCTGGTGGTGCTGCTGCTGCTTTTGCTTCTGTTGTTGCTGCTGCTCGTGCTGCTGTTGCTGCTGCTGCTTGTCAGCTCTTTCGGCTGTTGCTGCTGCTGCTGCTGCTGCTCAGCTGTTTGCGGATCAGCTGCCCATCACGGCGGAGAACTTCCGCTGTCTGTGCACCGGTATGTTCAGCAGCAGCAGCAACAGCAGCAGCAGCAACAGTAGTCATAGTTGCCCTATGAGCCCTATCAGTTAAGAAGCATGTGCCTTCAGCAGACGCAACAGTAGCTGCTGCAGTAGCGGCGACAGCAGCAGCAGCAGCAGCAGAAGCAGCAGCGGCAGCAGCAAAGGGCTCCTCTTTCTCTCTTTCGCTAGCTGCATGCATGATGTGCGCGCATGCGTGGGGTGTCTGTACACTGCAGGAGAGACAGGCCTTGGCTACTACATGCGGCCGCGCTGGTATAAAGGCTCCCCCTTCCACCGCATTATCCCTGGCTTTGTGCGTTTGCTGCTGCTGCTGCTGCTGCTCTTGTTGCTGAGGCAGTGCCATAGCTTTGAACCGGTGATGCTAAAGAGCAGATGATGTTGCTGCTGCTGCTGCTGCTGCTGCTGCTGCTGCGGCTTCGGTTGCTGCAGCAGACAACACACAATGGTGGCCCTGCTACAGCGCCTCCACTCTCTTTTTTACTCTCCTTGCTGCTGCTGCTGCTGCTGCTGCTGCTGCAGATGGCGCAGGGGGGAGACTTCCACAGGGGTGATGGCTACGGAGGCGAGAGCATTTACGGGCAGTTCTTTAGAGATGAAAAATATCTGTACAGACACTCCAAAAGAGGTGAGTACTTCCTTGCTGCAGCAGCAGCAGCAATAGCAGCAGCAACAGCAGCAACAGCAGCAAAGGCAACATCAGCAGCAGTTGCAACGGCAGCAAAAGCATCAGATATTGCCAGGCTTTTCTGCTGCTAGAAGCAGCAGCAGCCTTTTGTAGCAGCATTAGCACTACCATTAGCAGCAGCAGCAACAGCAGCAGCAACAGCAGCAGCAGCAGCAGTGGCCTGATGTTTCCTTCAATGATGAACTCCATGAAACTGCATATTTATTCTTTTGTTCGTTATATCTTATTCTCTCTCTCTTTCTCTTTATCTCTTTATACATATATATATATATATATATTGTATGTTGGGGTGTATGTACACCTCAGGGCTGCTGTCTATGGCGAAGTGCAGAGACAGACACACCGCTAGCAGCCAATTTTTTATTACTTTTGCTGCTGCACCATGGTTAGATGGAAAGCATGTTGTCTTCGGGCAGCTCGAAGCAGGAGAGGAGACACTTCACGCTATTGAAGCAGCAGGCAGCAGCAACGGGAAGCCAAGGAGACTTGTCTCCATCTTTAATTGGTGCTGCTCCTCCTCCTGCTGCTGCTGCTGGTGTTCGGGCTGATGCTGCTGCTGCTGTTCGGGCTGCTGCTGTTGCTGCTACTGCTGGTGTTCGGGCTGCTGCTGCTGCTGCTGTTCGGGCTGCTGCTGCTGCGGTGCCTGTTCGGGCTGCTGGGGCTGCTGTCAGCTGCTGCTTCTGCTATAATTATTATTGCTGCTGCTGCTGCTGGAAATCGTGCTGCTGCTGCTGTTCTAGCTGTTGTTGCAGCCGTTTGTTGCTGTTCATTTGCTCCCACTGTTGGCGTTACGCCTCGTACTGTTGCTGCGTGTTGTGTGGCTGCCGCTGCTGCTGCTGCTGCTGCTGCTTCTGTTTCTGCAGCGGGGAGCTGCAGATGAACGAACTGCGGCGAGTAGATGCAGAGGAGACAAAAGGCCTCCCTACCCTACAACCAGCAGGCCTCGTCATAGATGTATGTACCCCTCTGCTGCTGCTGCTGCTTCTATTGCAGCAGCTGCTGCTTCTGCTGCTGCTGCTGTTTCTGCTGCTGCTTCTGCTGCTGCTGCTGTTTCTGCTGCTGCTTCTGCTGCTGCTGCTGTTTCTGCTGCTGCTTCTGCTGCTTCTGCTGCTGCTGCTGTTTCTGCTGCTGCTGCTGCTGGGTGTTGAGGCGGAGTGTGGGGCTGTCCTTGCGCCGCTGTTGCAGCCAACAAACCGTCCGGAGCTGTACAGACAGTTCACCGGCCCCCCGACCCCTCCGCCGATCCCCCCGGAGGTGCTGCATGCAGCGAAGCACAACTTCTAAACCCCAACTTCATGCACCACAGAAGGGCCCCCAATAGGGGGCCCCATGGGGGCCCCATGGGGGCCCCCCTAGGGGCCTCGGAGCCCTTTCTGAACCCTTTAGAGGCCTCTGTAGGGGCCCCTTGGGGGCCCCGTTAGGGGCCTCGGAATTCCTTCTGAACCCTTTGGGGCCCCCTGTAGGGGGCCCGCGGCTTTCCCTGAACCCTTTGGGGGCCCCTGTAGCGGCCCCACTTGGGGGCCCCCATTGGGGCTTCGTTGGCTCCCCTGAACCCTTTGGGGGCCCCTGTAGGGGCCTTCCTGGGGGCCCCCCTAAATGCGAGGTCTCTGAAGGCCTCGTAGGGGCCTTGGTGGAGTTGTGGGGCCCACAGGGGCCCCCCAAGGGGCCCCTTGGCGATGGGGCCCCCAGTTTGAATCTGTTGCATCATTAATGTTGTCTTAGAGCATATAATATATTTTTCTTAGTATTATTATTATTGCTGCTCTTTCTACTGCTGTTGTTGTCGTTGTTATTCCCCCTATTATTAATATTAAATAATAAGACCTTTATTAATGATAATAATAGTAAGAACGCCAATAATAGTAGTAATAGCAGGAGCAGCAATAATAATAATACGAAGAAAAGAATATAGCTACAATACTCTCGTAGTAAAATAAATAAATAAATAAATAAACATAATAATAATAATAAGACTTAAATAAGAACAATACTAATAATATTAGTATTAATAAATAATAATAAGAAGGGCCCCCCCTTCCTGTCTCACCCACAAGCAAACAGTGGGGCCTCAGGGGGGCCCCTAAGAGGGGACCCCACCTTATTGGGGGCCCCCGTAAGGAAGTTGGGGGCCCCTAAGAGGGGCCCCCGATCTCTAATAAAGACAAGTGCTGCTGGGGTTTAATCGCAGGCCCTGCTGAGGCTGTTGTTTGAGGAAAGACAGAAAGAGACAGTGAGACAGAAAGAGACAGAGAGAGACAGAGACAGAGACAGACAGAGACAGAGAGGGAGAGAGACGGAGAGAGAGAGAGAGACAGACACAGAGAGACAGACACAGAGAGAGACAGAAAGGGACAGAGACAGAGAGACAGAGACAGAGAGACACAGAGAGAGACAGAGACAGAGACAGACAGAAAGAGACAGGCAGACAGAGACAGGCAGACGGAGAAAGACAGACGGAGAGATAGAGGGGGAGACAGAGACAGACAGAGACAGAGAGACAGAGACAGACAGACGAAGAGAAAGAGACAGACACAGAGAGAGACAGACAAATAGAGAGAAAGAGAGAGAGAGGCCGAGGAACAGAGAGGAGACAGCTGAGGCTGGGTGTCTCCTTTTGGGTTTTGTTTGTTGTTTTTGATTTGTATGAGGCATTAATAAATATTGTTATAGATGGAGCCCTTCATATAAATATTATATATATTATATATATTAATATAATAATTAGACAATATGAGATACTGTTATACATAATAGATATAATAATACTAATAAGACCTTTACATAAGATATTATTTATATAATTTATATAAAATAATATCGCATATAAAAGCAGCAGCAATCGTCTGTACACCCACAAGGAGACAGCAGATAAGCTGTCTCCTGTCTTTCTCCTGTTATTCTCTGTCTCTTGTTGAAGAGAGACAAATAATGCATGCAGATAAAGATAAACAAATAATGCATGCAGGGCTCAGTCTGGGGTGTACAGACAGACACGCATATATAATATATATATAATCTAAATCAAAGAAAGCATAGACAAGATAAATAAACAAATAAATAACTAAATAAAGACTAACGGCTTAAGGAAAGCTCAACTCTCCCTCTTGCTCTTTCTATACACCTGAGGAGACACCTGAGGAGACACCTGAGGAGACACCTGAGGAGACACCTGAAAAGACCGTTGAGGAGACACCTGAAAAGACCGTTGAGGAGACTGTTGAGGGGATAGTTGAGGAGACAGCTGGCGAGACAGTTGGGTGCTGCTGTCTCTATTTGTCTAATCACAGAAAGGCCCCATAGCTACCTGCTCTGCTAGCGATGCTGCTGCGCCGGACTCTCCGTTTCCTGTCAATGCCGCCGAGCACATCCTGCTGCTGCTGTTGCTGCTGTTGCTGCTGCTGCTGTTGCTGCTGCTGTTGCTGCGGCGCCGCAGTTATCCCGCTGTAGCTTTCTGTGTCTGTGTCTTCTTGACCGTGCATTTTAACAAGCTTCCTATCTCTTGGGGGGCCCCCCAGGGGCCCTCCCGTACACCCGGGGCCCCCTGGGGCCCCCCCTGTTGAGCTGAAGAGTGCTGCTGGAAGCAGCAGCTGCAGCAGTTGCTGCGGCTCTAGTGTATCCATAGATTCTGTTGTTGTTCGCGTTATATGATGCATTACTCCTGAAGGAGTTCTTTCAGCGAAGTCTCTTGTAACAGTTACACTCTTCTCCCCAGGTAGGGGCCCCCCAGATACAGGGGCCCCCCCAGGGGCCCCCCCACCAGGGGGGGCCCCCTGTACCTGCCGCGCCTGGGGGCCCCCTCTTCCACCGGCGACTGCATGCGGCGCAGCAGCACCAACCCCTGGACGCTGCGGTGTATGTGCAGGGGGGCCCCTAGTGGGGGCCCCCCCCATCCGGGTCCTTCCAAGGGCCCCAGATGATGCAGGGGGATGTACAGAGCCTTTTGCTGCTGAAGCAGCAGCAGATGCCTTAGGAAGCCCCAAGTAGTGCCCCTTAGATGCTGCTGCTGCTGCAGCAGAAGCAGACTTCGCTGAGAGGGCTACTGCAGCAGGAGGCGCGGTGCTGCTGCCGCCAGCGGAAGCCGTTGTTGTTGCTGCTGCTGCTGCTGCTGCCCCCCCGATTGGGGGAGAGGTCCCTGCTGCGCTGCTGCTGTGCTGCACTGCGCTCGCCAGCAGCTGACATCCCCCTGCTGTGCCGTCTACTGCAGCAGCAGCAGCAGCAGTCCCCTTTGCATGCAGCAAATGGCCAAGGCCCCCGGCCTTTAAGAAGGAGACACCTGCTGCTGCTGCGGGCTTGGTGCTGCCAGCAGCAAGTGCTGCTGCTGCAGCAGCTTTACCTCCCGCCAACAGCGAAGAGGCTGCACCTAACAGACCCACAATTTCTACCGGCATCTTGCTGTTGCTGCTGCTCCTGCTGATCCTGATGCTGCTGATGCTGCTGGTGCTGCTCCTGCTGCAACTGCTGTTCGCGTTGCAGCTGCTGCAGATCCTTATGATGCTGCTGCTGCAGGTGTTGTTGATGTTATTGTTGTTGCTGCTGCTGCTGTTTTTGGAGTTGCTGTTCTTCGAGGGCTGTTAAAGGCGAAGGTCACCGCCGTCGAGCGCCTTCCCGCCACCGCTGCTGCTGCTGCTGCTGCTGCTGCTGCTGCAGTCGCTGTCTCTGCTGCTGCTTAAGATCAAAGAAGGTTTTCTGAATGAAAGGGAGGGATAACTCTCTACACAGACTCCGCTCTTCCCCAGCGCTCCACCGCCTCGATAGCAGCAGCAGCGCAACAACAGCAGCAGCCGTACCAGCAGCAGCAGCAGCAGCAGAGCAGCTGCAGCACCTAGAATGGCGGTGTATTATTTAATTAAAAAGTCTACAAAGAAAATGCAAAGTCACAAAATACAGAAGATAAATGTAGAGGGCATTAACCTTCAATCACTACTACTACTGCTGCTGCTGCTGCTGCTGCAGCTGCTGCTGCTGCTGCTGCTGTCGGCGGTGGCGAGTTGAGTGGATGTACACTTTAGCAAGGACCGTAGCCGTATGCTTTTCCTCCTAAGGGTTTAGGGTTTAGGGTTTAGGGTTTAGGGCTTGTTTCAAAGGGTTAGGGACAGAGAGAAGCCGCAGGGCCTCAGCGCACTGCCCTCCAGAGACCGTTGGTTCGGCGCAGCAACAGCAGCAGCAGCAGCAGCAGCAGCAGCAGCGGTAGCAGCAGCGGCAGCAGCAGCAGCAGCAGAAGCATGGGCTCACCCAGAGTATATCCTGAACCCAATTAAATATTATTTTAAATACCTTTTGGAAATTGTTTGCAGCGGCAGCAGCAGCAGCAGCAGCAGCAGCAGCAGCAGAAGGGACCTGTCCCCCCTTGACTGCTGCTGCCTTCGCTGCCTTTGGGGCCCCACAGGGGCCCCCTGCTGCTGTCGGCATCGCTCTTGCAGATACTCCCAAAGAAGATTATATCAAACCCTAAACCCTAAACCCTAAACCCTAAACACTAACCCTAAAGCGTGAATTATTTCTACGGAGAAGGGCGACGGCGACAGGATGCAGCAAACTGCAGCTGCTGCTGCAGCAGCAGCAGCAGCAGCAGCGCCAGCAGCACATACTGCAGCAGCAGATGCTGCAGCAGCAGAAGCTGTAGCAATTCCTGCAGCAGAAACTTCTGCTACACCAGGAGCAGCAGCAGATGCTGCACCAGGAGCAGCAGCAGATGCTGCACCAGGAGCAGCAGCAGATGCTGCAGCAGGAACTGCTGCTGCTGCTGCTGCTGCTGCTGCTGCTGCAGCTACCTCCCGCATCTTTGCTTCCTTTTCCACTGCCTATACACCCGACTGCATTGAGTCCTGGAGTCAGCATGCAGCGTCTTGTCTTGCCCGGCGTTCTGCTGCTGCTGCTGCTGCAGCAGCAACAACAGAAGAGGAAGCAGCAGCGGATATAACAAAGCGGCCTTTCGAAGGTCCGCTACTTGCTGCAGCAGAAGCAGCCAACAGCAACAGCAGAAGTAGCAACAGCAGCAACAGCAGCAGCAGCAGCAGCAGCGATCTGTTTGTCGTTGGGATGTATCAATATGAAGAGACAACCCGCATGCGTAGGGGGGGCCTTTCTTTCTATACCCTGCAGCAGCAGCAGCAGCAGCAGCAGGACTCAGCAGCAGCAGCAGCAGCGCCATCCGTTCGTTGCATTCTTGAACATTTTACAGACTCTTTCGGGTGTCTAGACACCCGGTGGCTGTGTGCTGCTGATGGTTGCTGCTGCTGCAGCAGCAGCAGCAGCACCGGTAGCGATGGGCTTCCTGTAAGACAATTGTCTCCTTCTGCTGCCGACGCTGTTGCTGCTGCTACTGCCGCTTCTGCTGCTGCTGTTGTTGTTTCCCCCGCCGAAACTGCATCCACATCTGCTGCAGCTACTGTTGCTGCTGCTGTCGCTGCTGCTGCTGCTGCTGCTGCAGTTGAACTTTGCTTCTCTTCTGGCTGTGATTGGCTCGGACTGCGCGTTGCATGCGTTTCGGGTGTCAAGACACCCGGAAGACGAGGGGGAAGACAGCAGCAGCAGCAGCAACAACAACAACAACAGCAGCAGCAGCACGAAAAGCGGAAGGAGCAGCAGCCTCAGCTGCAGTGCTGCAGCGCGAGTGCCGCTGCTGCTGTCGCCCGGCAGAGACCACATAGGACTCAGCCTAGACCCTCTAAATGAGCAGCCCCAGTATGCTGCTGCTGCTGCTGCTGCTGGTGTTGCAGCTGTTGTTGCTGCTGCTGCTGCTGCTGCTGTTGCTATTGCTGATGCTGCTACTGCTGCTGCTGCTAGTGATGCTGCGGTTCCCCTTGCTGTCGTTGATGTTGTGGCGTCCGCCCTAGCTATTGGTGCTGTTGTTGTTGTTGCTGCTTCCTGCTGTTGCTGATGCTGCTGCTGTTCCTGCTGTTGCTGCAGCTGTTGTTGTTGTTGCTTCTGCTGCTCCTCTCCCTTTGCTTTCTGGAGGGCGCCGCGCTGCTGTGCTCTTACTCTTCTGCTGCCGATGCTGCAACCGCTGCTGCTGCTGCTGCTTCTGCTGCTGCAGGCTAATTGCTGCAACGTGCTCGGATGGTTCTGCTGCTGTAGTTCAGGACTTAGAGCGGGTGGTGCTACGCTGGCAAGTTTGTTGTTGCTGCTGCTGCTGTTTGCATGCGGTTTGCTGCTGCTGCAGTTTGCACGCAGTTTGCTGCTGCTGATGCTTGGATGCAAACTGGGCTCGCTGCTGCTGCAATTTGCATGCGTGTTGCTGCTTCTGCTGCTGCTGCAATTTGCATGCGTGTTGCTGCTGCTGCAGGAAGGCCCACGAAGCGGAGGCCTGGGCTGTGGCGGTCTCCCCGACTTCAGGCGGCAGCACCGTAGCTACGGGTCAGTGCTGCTGCTGTTGCTGCTGCAGCAGCTGCTGCTGCTGCTGCAACACCGGCTGCTGCAGACCGTATACCCTTCGCGTGCTACATCTTTGTTGCTTCTGCTGTGTTTATTGAGGTGTATGTACACTCCAGTTTGCTTCTTCTTCTTGCTGCTGATGTGCATGTACACCTGAATTGCTGCATTTGCTGCTCAGGAGCTGATGACTGCTGCCTCCGTCTGTGGGACATCCGCAGCTGCTGCAGCTCTCCTGCAGCAGAAGCAAGCATTCTTAGCAGGGGCAGCAGCAGGAGCAGCAGCAGGAGCAGCAGCAGGAGCAGCAGCAGGAGCAGCAGCAGAAGCAGCAGCAGCAGCAGACCCCCTCGTCTGCATGCAGAGAACAGCAGCAGCCACACCATGGGCGTTACTTCTTTGTCTTTTTCTCCTTCTTATTCTTTTCTCTTGCTGTCGGGGAGGTAATCAGAAAAACCCTTTTGGGGCTTTCTTGCTTCTATCCGTTGCATGCATGCAAACAAACCCTAAACTCTAAACCCTAAACCCTAAAACCTAAAGGCGTATAAAGCCCTCTGTGCGCCTTAGTCTGTCTGTCTGTCTACAACTCCCTGCCGCAGCATATTCTGCATCTGCTGCATTTGCTGCTGTTGCTGCTGCTGCTGCTGTTGCTGCTGCTGCTGCTATGGGCCCCACAGCTACGACGGCTACCTCCGCTGCTTCGACCTGCGGCAGCTCCGCCGCCCTCTCTCCGAATACAAAACATCAGGGGGCCTCTGGAGGCTTCGCCACTCTTGGGGGCCCCTATGGGGGGGCCCCCTAGAAGGGGGGCCCCCAGGGGGGCCCCTAGAGGGGGGGCCCCTAGAAGGGGGTTTAGAAAGGGCACGGGTGGGGGGCCCTTTGCTTCTTGCTGCTTGCTGCCACGGAGGCTGTGAGGTTTGGAGTATGCAAGCAGGAGGTGAGCAGCAGCACATACGAACAGCAGCAGCAGATCCTGCTGCTGCTGTTGCTGTGGCTGTTGATTAGTTGGTTTACGAGTGCTTGCGCTGTTGCTGTTGTTGTTGCTACTGCTGTTGCTGCTGCTGCTACTGCTGCTGCTGGTGAGGGGAAAAGGGTGTGTCTCAGCTATGTGCGGTTTCTTTGCTGCTCGCAGCGGGGGCTACTGCTGCACCGCAGCTGCAGCGGCTGCTGCAGCAGCAGCTCCACAAGTCTATGACTTATGGAATAACTCAGCTATGCTGTATACCTCAGCAGCAGCAGCAGCAGCAGCAGCAGCAGCAACAGCAGCAGCAGCAGTTTATAGGGGCTTCTGTTGGCTTCTACGACAAGAGCGTTTGCGTCTGGCAGCAACTCCTGCCTGCACGTGAGGGCTCTGCTCCTTATTAAGGGCTGCTCTAAACCCTAAACCCTAAACCCTAAACCCTAGAGAGTGTCGTAGGAAAGACCCTTCTACAGCAGAAACAGCCGGGGCGGGTCCCTTGTCCAGCAAATAGAAAAGAAGGCTAGGGTTTGGGGTTTGCTGCTGCTAGGGTTTAGGGTTTTAGATAAGGGTTTAGGGTTTTTGAAGCTTCTCGTGGAGCAGCAGCAGCGCGAGAAGCAACAGCAGTCGCTGCTGCTGCTGCGTTTGCTGCTGTCGAACATTCGCAACAGCAGCAGCAGCAGCAGCAGCAGGGGTCAGCAGCACCAGCGTTGTCTCCTCTTTGCCCTTGTCTCCTCAGAGACAGCACGAGGAGACAGTTGCTGCAGGGGTGGTGGAGGTGCGCCGTAAGTGCAAACGAGTGTTGGCAGTAGCTGCTGCTGCTGCTGCAGCAGTTGCTGCTGGGGAAGTATGCCGTTAGCAGCAGCAGCAGCTGCTGCTGCTGTTCCAGGAGCAGCAAGAGACACTGTCAACGGATTTGAGTAAGGAATTGTGCAGAAGGAGACAGGCAGCAGCTGCGGTTCATACGCCCCACCCCAATATAGGGGGGGCCCCCCGGGGCCCCCCGGGGGCCCCTGCAGCATTGCTGCTGCTGCTGGAGAGCCGCTGCTGCAGTCCCATAAGGGGAAATACTGTGGCCAGGTACAACTGCCTGCAGCAGCAGCAGCAGCAGCAGAAGCAGCAGCAATGTTAAGAGAGGCGTAGATAACGACCAGAGCCTCACAAACACAGCAGCAGCATTAGCAGCAGTAGCAGCAGTAGCCGCAGCAGCATTAGCAGAAACAGTACTAGCAACAGCAACATTGGCAGCGGCAGCCCTAGCAGCAGCAGTACTGGCAACAGCAGCATTAGCAGCAGCAGCACTAACAGCAGCATTACTAGCAGCAGCAGCATTAGCAGCAGCAGCGCTAGCAGCAGCAGCAGATGGTTTAGGGTGTCTCTTTTCAGTTCCTATTGAAGAACGGGCATAGGTGAAGCAGCAAACTTGCCTGGCGGCGGCTGCTGCGGCTGCTGGAGAAGCAGCGGCTGCTGCTGCTGCAGCAAGAGGTGTCCCTGCTCTGCAGCTGCTGCTTCTTCTGTCCCTGTAGCGTACCCAGTGGGCTGCTGCTGCAGCAGCAGCGGCTGCTGTTGTTGCTGCACCAACTGCTGCTGTTGTAGGGGCTCCATCGGCGTCCTCCCCTCCTCTTATGCCTGTGTTCCTGTTGCTGCTGCTGCTGCTGCTGCAGCAGCTGCTGCTGTTGCTGCTGCTGAGACGACGGTGGTTATACAGGCAGCAGCAGCAACTAATATGTCTCTTCTTGCCACTAAAGCCCTGTCTCTGCCTTATACCTTTAAAGTAATAAACTCAACAACTGACTGTCTCCTGTGTGCAATGTTTCAGCAGCAGCAGCAGCTGCTGCTGTTGCTACTGTTGCTGCTGCTGCTGCTGCTGCTGCTGCTGTGGAAATAAGCTGCGTACTCACTCCAGCAGATCTGTTTAGAGAAGCTTGTATCTTTCAGGAGGGAGATAGCAGCACCAGCAGCAGCAGCACCAGCTGCAGCAGCAACTGCAAGACAGGTGACCTCGCTGCTGCAGCAGCAGCAGCAGCAGCAGCAGCTCACAGAGACAAAGAGTTAAACGAAGTCAAACTACTAAATTAAAAATAAAAACTCCTATTTTAAATGCAGTGGTGCATGCAGCAGCAGCACCAGCAACAGCTGTGGCAGCAGCAGCTGTTTCTGCTGCTGCAGCTGCAGCTGCAGCAGCCTGCACACTGCTCTCACAGCCCGCAGCAGCAAACAGCAACAGCAACAGCGGCAGCAGCAGCAGCAAACGCGAATTAGGGATTAAATTGGCGGTAAATCTCCCCTTAAGAGACACCATGGCCGCTACAGCTACTGCTGCTGCTACGGCTGCTGCTGCTACGGCTGCTGCTGCTGCTGTGCTGCTGCTGCTGCTGCTGCTGCCATGCCGATAGTTGCTGACATGAAAGCTGCTGCTTTTACTGTTTGCACAGCTACTTCTGTTGCGTGTCAGATGCTGTTGCTGCTGCTGTTACTGCTGCTGTTACTGCTGCTGTTGCTGCTGCTGTTGCTGCTGCTGTTGCTGTTGCTGCTATTCTTGCTGTTGCTGCTGGGCTTGCCGCTGGTGCTTTTTGTTGCTGTTTCGGCTGTTGTTGGTCGTGCTTCTAGTGTCCGTTCTACTGCTTCTGGTGTTACTGCTGCTGCTGCTGCTGCTGCATGCATAACGCGAGCCACACACCTTCCTGTTAGGCGTCACCTCCTGCTCCTCTGCTGCTGCTGCAGTTGCCACAGTTACTGCTGCTGCAGCTGCTGCAGTTACTACTGCTGCTGCTGCTACAGTTACTGCTGCTTCAGCTGCTGCAGTTACTGCTGCTGCAGCTGCTGCATTCACTGCTGCTGCAGCACGAGGAGATCCTATTATTTGCTGTTAGGGGATAACCACAATGTGCAGCAGGCAACACCAAGCAGCCCTTCAGTACCGGCAGCGCTTTGAGTCTACAGGCAGCTTGTGGGGTGTACAGGCAGCTCGTTGGGTGTACAGGCAGCTCGTTGGGTGTACAGGCAGCTCGTTGAGTGTACAGGCAGCTTGTGGGGTGTACAGGCAGCTCCTTACTGTAAAGTTGCAGCATCTTCTGCCTTCCACCTGCATTGCTGCATGCAGCAGCTTGTCTTGCGGGGCTCTTCGAGCAGCTACAGTTGAAGAGCAGCAGCAGCAGCAGCAGCAGCAGCAGGAGTGAAGAGTGAAGAAACCAACTAGCAAAGCGTAATGCTGCTGAGTGCTGTTGATGTGTCTCTCTTTTTGTATACATACAGCAGCACTTCGTTGTCTCTCTCTGCTGCATCTAATGCAATAACAGCCTGCCCTTCGCTCTCCGTGCTGCTGCTGCTGCTGCTGCTGGCTGTATAAGAGACGCTGCAAGCAGAAGAGGACCCCACTATGAGGCGGTTATTGCAGCATCAGCAGCAGCAGCAGCAGCTGCTGCAGCAGAAAGAGAAAGGAAAGGAGAAGCAAGGTGAATTGCCTCTCTTTTAAAAAGCAAGAGACAAGGAGACAGACTCAGCAGCAAGTGTCTCCGCCTCTTGCAGCAGCTTAACACCAACCATCTCTCTTGCGTCCTCGTGCTGCTGCTGCTGCTGCTGCTCACAGGAGCTCGCGAATGGCTGTTGCAGCAGCAACTGCAGCAGCAGCTGCTACTACTGCTGCAACAGCAGCAGCAGCAGTCTTCCTAACCGGCTGCTGCTAGTCCTGCCCCTCTCTCTCCCTACAGCGCGCTGCTGCAGTCAGTAGGGCTACGTACTGCTGCTGCTTGCTGCTGCTGCATGCTGCTGCTGCATGCTGCTGCTGCATGCAGCCCCGTTGCTATGGCCCTAAGCTCTATTTTATGTGTCTCCTCTATTGGGGTTTAGTAATCGTGCAGACTCTTTGCTGCTGCTGTTGCTGAGCTGCTGCTGCTGGTGTCTCAGGGAAGGAACACAGGAGAAAGCTAAATACAGCAGCACCTTACCCAGCAGGAACAGCAGCAACAGCAGCAGCTGCAGCAGCAACACTCCGCCAGCAGCAGCAGAAGCCAATGCCCAGCTCGGCCGTAAGCAACACAAGCGCATGCAGCAGCAGCAGCAGATCAATAAGCAGCAGCTGCAGCAGCAACAACAGCAATTGACAGCAACACGACCAATCATACAGCCACAGAAGCCACTGCAGCAGCAGCAGCAGCAGCAACATAAATATAAAGTTATTTTTTTAGCATCATAAAATAAAACAACTACTAGAATTTTTAATGCATATTTCCACTTCTCCAGATCTTTGTCCTCCCTTTTTATTTCTACCTTTTACAGGCTGCTGCATTAATTCAATATAAGATACTCTATATATATATATATATAGAGTACTTTATCTCTTATACTTCTGCAGCGACTCCCTCCTATTAGATCTACTCTTGGGCCCCCCTGCCGCATTCCGCTGCGTCTATTCCCCCTTAATTCATATATTAAAAAGGCATTCAGCGCAGCAGCAGCAGCAATAGCAACAGCAGTAGCAGCAGCAGCAGCAGCAACTTGCTCGTCTATGTCTGTTGGCGCTTCCTTCTGTGTTGGCTGCGCCTCCGGTGTATTGTATTTTGTTTTTCTTATCCCTTTAATATTTAGTTAACTGATTGTTTAATTTAAAGCAGCAAATAATAGGGCGACTACAGCAGCAGCAGCAACAGCAGCAGCAGCAGCAGCAGCAGCAAAGAAACAGCTCCACAGCACGGCGTGCAGCAAAGCGAAGCAGGAGCAACAAAGCAGCTACCTCTGTCTTTAAACAAATAAAATATAACTAAACGTCTCAAATAAAATAAATAAAGACAAAACCAAATAGAAAACAACAAACAACAGCACTCTAGCAGCAGCAGCAACAGCAGCAGGAGCAGCGCTCGCTGCTGTTGACCGTTGTTGCCGCTGCTGCCTTCTGCATGCAGCATCTGGGGTGTACATACACCTCAATTCTTGTCTTTTTCTTTCCTTGCATTCTAACTCTCTCCGCTTTAGCTAGCTGCTTAGGCTGTCTCTGCTGCATAGGAGGGGCCCCCAGCTGCAGCAAACCCCTAGACACGGGATCCAGCTGTCTGGGCAGCTTGCTACTGCTCCTGCTGCTGCTGCTCCTGCTGCTGCTGCAGCAACCAGCCTCGTGCTGCAGCAGCGACCCTGGAGGCCCCCCGTGTGCAGCGGCGACTCCCCTGC